CAGAGAGCTGCTTATTCATGTAGTATGCCTATTTTTTCTATTAAATTCTTGTTTTTTTCTAAGTATTCCTAGTATAGTAAGAAAATTAACCATTTGCCATGTGTTGCAAAAATTTTTCTCAGCTTGTCTTTTTATTTCTTGGTGCATTTTGCCACTTAGAAGCCCTATATTTTTATAAAATCAACCAAAAAGGTATTAACCTTTTTCTTCAAGCTTCCTTCATGCCTAGTTTTTTTCCACTGCAAAATAAAAACAAGAATCACATAGATTTTCTTCTTGTTCTTTCAATGTGGCCTTAAGGGTTTTGTTTGGTTTGACTTGATATTTCTACCTTGGTCTCTATTGATTGGGAAAAAAAAAAAAAAAAATGCGGGGCTGGCCGTGTGGCTGAGTGGTTAAGTTCGCGCGCTCTGCTTCGACAGCCCAGGATTTTGCCAATTGGAATCCTGGGCGCGGACATGGCACCGCTGATCAAGCCATGCTGAGGCGACATCCCACATGCCACAACTAGAAGGACTCACAACTAAAAATGCACAACTATGTACTGGAGGGCTTTGGGGAGAAACAAAAGGAAAAATAAAAATCTTAAAAAAAAATGCATTATATAGGATGAAAAGTGCACAGGTAGGGGTTCACCAAGTCAGAGAGTTCAAATTTGTGCTAAACACGGAAGCATTTTCACTTTGGATTTTTTACTCCCTCTTGCCAAACACATAAAAATCTCTTTGCATCTTTTTAAAAAATTACAAAACTTACTTATGCACATTATAAAAATTCAAGCTATCAGAAAGATTTAGAGTAAAAAGCAAAACCCTCCCTTGCTGTCCCTCTCTGCCCCTATAATCCCACTCTCTAGAAGAAACCGCTGTCCACATTTTGCTGTGCAGCCTTCAGGACCTCTTCTATGTATTCACAAATATATACACATGTTATCAGTGGTCCTCTACTTTCTGCTTGATAGAAATGAACTGCACAGTATATCTTTTCTGAATGTAGAACTCCTAAAGTTCTCTAGCTATCACAGCAGCCTATGTATATACATTAGTAACAGCTCAGCAATACCTGCTATTATATAGAGGATATACCATAATCTAGTTAGTCACTCTCTATTCCTTGGCACTATTTTCCTATTTGTAAACATTACAAGCAATGCTGCTGTGACCATCCCTGTACATATTTTCATGCTTATATGTAATTATTTCTACAGGACGGAGTCCTAAAAATGGAACTGCTGGTTTGAAAAGTGCATCATTCACAGCAGACTGGGTCTTAGGAACCGGAGAAGCCTCCGCACTGCTCACAGCTCATCGTAAGCACTCCGCTGCGTGCTCTGCTTCATAGTTTTGTTTTTTTAAAGCTTAAATGTGTGAACATGACCATAAAAATTGGAAACTGAGTGTAGGTTCACGTGCACCTTGCCCAGAAGTTCCACTTTTAGGGAACCATCCTATAAAAACAGTCCCATGAAGTAGAAGAGCGTAAGTTCAGCTCTGTAAACCAGCTAAGAGGAGGGACAAAGGTGTTAGCTAAGAATGTTAAGTATTATTAATGGGCCGAGTGCCCTGAGTATAGGTACCTGTAATACTTTGACAGAATTACCAGTCTTGGGACGGGAGTAGAAATTAGGAGAGGGTCTCCACAGACAGATGGGGGTGTGGGACATCTCCCTCCTCTCCTGCGAGGGGGCCAACAACTGGGACAGTGGTCCAGGCTTCTAAGACTTCTCATGAGTGAATAAGAGCTCTGAGCAGCTGCTCCAAGATGCAGCAGCCTTGCACATTGCCCTACACTGCTCCAGAAGGAGCCCTGCCATCTGGGGTCCGTGCAGGGCGCCGCTCGGCATCCAGAACGGCTTCCCTCCTAGTTGACCAGGGTAACCAGGCGTCGGCAGAGAGGGCCCAGTCTCTTCCCTCCATGGCCTCTTCCCTACAGTGCTTGGCTTGAGGCAAAGCTGTTTCTAAGGAGGAAAGTTCAGGAACTTTAATTAGGGTTTTGAAATTCTAACCCAAAACAAACTTGTAAATGTGACAGCAATCACCAAATTCCCTCTAATAAGGAACTACCTCTATATACTCCCTTAAATGATTTCCTTGACACCTTTGAGGAAACTCCTCAATCTCACTAACCTTTTTAATTTTGTCAGTCTGATCTCTCATTATTGTTTTCATTTTCTTAAACCACGTTATCATACAAAGACACTAAAATCTTCCATGTTTGTGGACTATTTGTATTTCTTCTGTGAATTGCTTGCTTACGGCCTGTGTCCTATTTTAAAACGGGTTGTCTTTTTCTTACTGATCCATAGGAATTATTTACATATTCTGGATATTAACCCTTTTTAATAATACACTGCCGTTGTTTTCTGTCAGTTGTCTTAATCTGGCTTCCTCCACACAGATGCTTTCCATGTTTGTGTGCACCCTCCCTCCCCCTCCCCCTCCAGCTTGTGGATGGAGAGAAATGCAGTTCCTGAGGTTGGGCCCCTCAGACCTCTGAAATCTTGACAGAACTAGTAGAATAAGGAGACACTATGCTTGATGACGTTGCAAATAAGCTTTCCAGTACACCTGAACACCTTTTTCTCACACTCACAGTCCTGGGGGAAAATCAACACAATGGTTACCTACCTATGCAAATATGTAGCTGGGACCCTGCATTGCACTGGAGATGCTGGAAAAGTTAGGGCTCTGCTTGAAAGATCTAAACTGTCTTTTGCAATAGTTTTTCCACACTGTGGGCAGAGTCATAGCTCTAAGTTAGGATTTAGACTGCTTATGTTCTGTGGCTTATTCTTTTTGAGATGTACATGTTCTTTAAACAATTGCTTATAGGAGATAAAACCCCGAGACAGCTACGAGAGGGTGTTAGCAGGATCTCTTCCCCTAGAGCTGGAAGAAGAACAGTACGTAAAAAGGATTAGCTTGGTCAAGCTCAGTCTTGTGCCAGATATTGTCTAAAACTGAAAAACCCCAGCCTTGAGAAATGTTAAGGAAAGAAAACTTCTATTTATTCACAATTTATAAGAGGATATTGTAAGAAAGGGGCCTCTTGTCACTATATGGCTATCTCCAGTCCTGGGGTTCACCTCCTCTGATCTGACGTGACTGGCCTGCTGAGAGCACACCCCTGGGAGTAGCTCTCCCCTGCATGAAGTAGACAGTCGCATGTCCATCATGCCAAGAAGGCCTGTGCTTGGACAGGACACGAAAATCGGGAAGGCAGCTGCACTGGGGGTGAGGAAGAAATAGTACTTTACCCTTACTCTGGACAGCGAGTCCACAGGTGCTGAAAGGCCCCAGGGCCCCAGGTGGGGAACCTGGCTCTTGCCTGTCCTTGGGTATGCAGACCACATTGCATGAAACAATGTCATTCTAATTCAAAGAGATTGCACCATCCACAAAAGAAAACCAAACCTAGCACACAGGGCCAGCCGTGTATGTACACTGCCTAGATACTGCGATTTCAGGGGCCTTTAAAGCCTCTGCGTGTTCCAAGGGCTGTCTCCTCCTTCCTGGCCCTCCTCCCCCCACCTTATTAGAATACATCCACAAACAGGCTGAGTCAAATAGGCTTACATCGTGAAAACATTTCCCCAAAACAATGATCAAAAACACTGTCCCAGAGAGGCTAACACTCTGTAATCCCATGCTCAATTTTGCTTCATTTTTTACCACCTTCCACAGGAATTCAACATTTTTACATAGTTGCAATCGTGTGCCCATAGGATAATGTATCCTGCATTTTAAAGCAATTAATGTTACACAGGTGAAAAGCCCCTGCCCCAGATAGTTACCTAGTGGGGTGATATCCTGGAAAGCAAGCTGGTTTAGGTCCCAGGTGCTTTCATTTGCATCATGGCTCCAGTCTGGGCCGTATGACCTTGGGCACATTGCTTAACTTCCTGCTTCTGTTTCCTTATTTCTAGGGTGCTATCATTCTGGCTTGCAGGATGGGTGAGAGGAACAGATATGCTGCATGGAGGGTAGGTGATTCCCGGTGGCAACGACTGCTAGTTAACATTCTCACTTCCTGAATTGATGGTTTTTGTGACAAGCACTGCCCTGAGAATTCTTCGTCATCATCCATTTTAATCCTCCCAACAGGCCTGAAGATATGTTGTATTATCTCACTTTCCAGGTGACAAAAATGAAGTACGCTGAGGTGAAGTCACTTGCTCAAGGTCACACAGCAGGCCCCTGGAGGAGGCGGAATTGGAACCAGGTTAGGGTGAACAGTGTCTTCTTGGCCACACTGAGCATGAAGCAGCAGAAAGTCACCTAAGAACACTGGGTGGCTTCTCCCCTTAGCACGTGACTTGGCAGTTCCAAAAATCCCGGGAAAGCCAGAGGGGGTGCACTGTACCACTGGTCTAATTCTGAAGACCGTGAGTGGGAGAAGGATAATAAGGAACTTAGGGGAAACTAAAAGCACAAAGTAACCTCAAGAAAAATTGGCCCAGATGGACAAATTCCCTAAGCATCTTTCACTACCCTGAAGTCCTAGGAGCCAGCTTTAAAACCCTGTCAGGGTTACTTCAACAGCAACTTGTAGAGAGGGAAAAGGCTAGAAATTTTCTGCACCCTCTGGGTTTTTTGTTGATTAGCAAAGCTGGGAGAACAGCCACTGCTGCCTCCCAGGGCTGTTGTTCAAACTGTCACAATTACAAGAAGGGCCGCCACAGGGGAAGGCCCTGGTTTCAGCGTGACCCCCCGGCCGCTGTGAGCACAGCCAAGGCCGTGGCTCTTCTCTCTGGGTCACTTGATTGGCATGTGATCATGATGCTGGCAGCCCAAGGGCTGGAGCCATTCACTGAAGGTTGCTAGACAATGAATTATTTCACAAACACTGAAATCTAAAAAGTATTCAGAGCCATCCAAGTATGAAGACATTACTAATATATGCTTTTCTCAAGGGAAAGCGACTTCAACAAGAAAAAAAATACACGTCCCACCTTCCTTCTTCTCTCTAAAACAACATTCCCTCCAAAAGATAAAAACCTCTAACACATTTGTCCTTGAAAGGCAGAGCCCAGGAAATGGGGAGCTCTCTGAACACTCCTCCATTTCTGCTAGGGACCATCCGCCCGCGCCGCCTCATGTCACAGGAGGCCCCGCCTCGTGTCACAGGAGTCCCCGCAGCGCCCAGCGAATGTGTTTACTTCTGCCGCCAGCCCTGCGGGGCAGGGGAGACCGGCCGCCTGCCCCTCACTTTCGCCCCTGCACTTTTCCAACCAGACCGGGCGGGATGGGAGTGTCTTCTTGGCTGTGCAACTCGATCCTCCCACCTTGTCCTGAAGCCACCCGCCGCCTCTGCCCGGCCCGCCCCTCGTGGTGATTTTCCTGTCCCGGCCGCCCCGGGAGGGCGCGCGGCTGGAGTCCGCCCAGCCCCAAAGGTAGGGGCTGCGCTCCTGCTCCTGCCCCCGCCCCGGACCGGAGCCCCCGGCCTCCTCGCGCGCTGCGCCTTCCTCGGCGGGCTCCGGGGCGGCGCGGCCACCGCGCATCCGCGCCGCCGGCGGCAGGAGGAGCCTCCCGCGGCCCCGGGGGCGCTCGGCGCAGTCGCCTGGGGCCGGCCCCGGGCGCCTCGGATTTCGGGCGGCGCTGCGCACCCTGCGCCCGCCAGCTCCGGGACACCGAGTCGCGCCCGCGCCGGCCCGGCCCGCGCCCCGTCCTCCGGTTTCCGCCGGCCCGAGGCTGCGGCGCCGCGGGAGAGCAGCGGCCGGAGCGCGGCGAGCGGAGCGCGGAGCCGGCGCCCCTGCGGGCTTCGCGCCCGGCCTGCGGCACCCCTGCCCCGCGGCTTCGCCTTGCAGGGTGAGGCGGGTGGGGTGCGGGGGCACCGAGTGCCCGGCCCTGGTCGGGGCGGCCTGGGGTCCGTGCCGCGCGGCCCCTGCGCTGGGTCGGGGTGGGGCCCGCCGGGCTGGCCGCCCCTCCGCGCACCCTCCGGCCCCACGGGCGTTGCGCGCGCTCGGCCCCCCGGGCTGGGGGTGGAGGCAGCGGACGGCGGAGCGGGACCCCCGCGCCAGCCCGCGGAGGGCGAGGGGCGCCGGGAACCGGGGACCCGGCTCGGGCCCCCGCTTTGCTCTGATCGCCGGGGAGCTGGGGCGCTGGAGGGGCCGAGGAGTGACGGGCTCCTCGCTCTATTGTCTTCTTGTAAAAGGGTCTGGGAGAGCAAGGGCGAGGGATCTGGAAGGTTCTCGTCTTCTACCTTGGAAAAATTTCGGAGAAACCCTTCTTCCCGCCACGGTAGGATCAGAGCTAACAAACAAGCACCAGGGGGTGGGGGTGGAGGTGGGGGCGGCGGCAGGACCTGCGGTGTGGCGTGCCCTGAGCGGTCGGGATGAGGGGGCACCAACGGGTCACGCCAAGGCCGCTGGCTGCGGAGCTTCCCTGCGAGCTCAGCCAGCTTCTTGTGTGCTATTTGGCTTAAAAGAAAATGTATAAACTACCATCTCCAGAAACAAAAAAAAAAAAACCCAAAGCGCCTTCCTTGAGGATCTTGAGTAGGAGGGCCGGGGAGGGCGGATCGGGGGTCTCTGTTCAGAGGGAGTACTGAAAGACTGCGTGGGAGTGAGGATGGGCGCCCGCGTAGCCCGGCCACACCGGCCGCAGACTCTAAACCCAGAGGCACATGTGCGTTAGGAGGGTCCTCCGGCACGGTCAGGGAGTCTTTGCGGGTGACCCCCGCGCCTGGGGGCCCCCGCCCGTGTCCACACTGCTCCTCGGGTCTACGATAAACGGCCGCCTCCGCTTGGCTAGCTGGATATTTCACTTTCTGGTCTTCAAGCTTCCTCTCCCAGCTGCGGATCTTGAAACTGTTTTTATTTACACGGAGAGGTTAAATATTTGGAAGAGCTGCCAGGTTATTTTCCGTCTGCAGGCATGCTGATTTAACATTTGTAAATCGGATTGTGTTGCTTCGTTTTCGTCTCACCAAGGACCGCTTTTCCTACCAAGACCTGCCGAAGAGACACGCTTAGATTATCTAGTTTGTTGTCTCTGAATAAGACTAATTGCCTCGGAAACACTTTAAATACGTAGTGGCAACTTTGGTTTGTAAGGAGAGAACTTTTCCAGAAACTTTGTATTACCCTGATCTGGCTTCATGTGGAAGAGGAGAGGAGGTCCCCATCCCTTGCCAGTGGGTTCCCTAGGGCAATGTTTTACCATAGTCCCTGAATGTCACAGTCCCTGATGGCACGCTGTCTTGTTAAAACGGTGCAGGAAAATGAGACTGCTCTTTTCACTACGTGTCAGTAGAGATGTTGGAAATATTCAATTTGTTGTTGTGCTCCAAATCAGTAAAAAATCTTTGAGTCTCAGAAAGTGCCATTAAAAGACATAGCATGAAAAAACTTCAGTCTGTCTTTTGTGAAAATTGTAATTCTCAAGTTTTCTCATTCTTTGTGGCAGCCATTTCCTTCTGTTGGAGGTATTTCTGTGTTCCACATCATTTAGAATGTTATGGGAGAGAAGTGAAATAATGCCATGCTTCCTCTCTCTCTCTGATAAGCATCATCTGCTAACCATGCAGATTACCAAGGGGCTTCTGTGGAAGTTACGATTCCATCCAGTGATCTAACGTGTTCTAGGTGATACTTATCAAGGAGGTGAGGAAGCACGAAGGTCCTGTGGCAGCCACTCTGCTCCCCAGTGTGTTCACGTGTGCTAGTTTATTAAATATTCCCAACAGCCCTATCAGACAGGAATGTTTAGCCTCACTTTATAATTTAGAAAAGTGAGACTGCTCTAGGTTACATGCCTTAGAATGGATCGTGTGAGGGTGTGCTTCCCTGGTGTCTTATTCCACCCCAGGAGGCCACCGTAGCACACATTCCTCACAGATTCTTCTATTCCTTGTGCTTATCTTTCTCCTTTCCCTTGCACGTGCTCAGCTTATATATCCCTTGATCATCATATGCTTTCCTAATTGCCCCTCAGGCTGGGCTTCTGAACAGGGAGTCTGTGTACTTTGTCTGCTTTTCCTTCTGACAGCTTCAGACTTTCCCCAGTTAGGTATCTTCTGTCTTCTCCATGTCTCTGACGTGCCACTTAGCTGTGCTGTGTCTGGCCAAATCCACGAGGTTATGTTATCTCCAATGGGTTGTGTTCCAAAAGTTCTTTTCATCCTGAATATGTTTTTACTGAAGTTCCTACTCATCCTTCTTGCCTGGAAGAAGTCTTCCCAGGGCTCTGTCCCCACCCTAACTAACAGCTGGAAGTAACCTCTCTCCTATCCATCCCGACTACGGTGGGTAACAGCACACATCTCGGGTTCTAAGTGAAGCTTTGTGGGTTAAAACTAGCAAAGTGTTTGATTTGGAGTGAGCTTGGTGTATGGAATAGAGTGGATGCCTTGGACATCACAGCGTCTCAGTAGGAAACTGTATTTATGGTTCCATATCAGGTGTCAGGAGCACCGTTCCCTCACCATGGTGGGGTAGCAGGAGTTTCTTCTCCTGGGGGTGGCTCCCCAGCACTGAATCAGCACTAGTGTCTCCGACCTGCTGAGGAACTTGGCTGCCGTATGGCCGGACTAAGAAGGGATGAGATTCTGGGAGTGGGGTTGTGAGGGTAAAAGAGTAAGGAGCAGTCGGGTCTGAGTCTCTTCCCCGTGTCCATATTTCTTCTTCTTGAAGAGCTTTTGGTCACCCAGGGGGAATGGCCAGCTTGCTGTTTCCTGCCACAACCTTCGGCTTCTGACCAGGGGCTTTCCTCTTCCTGGTCCACTGGGAAGAGAGGGTGGAAAGCACCCAACCCTGAGGAAATTATGTTGTCATAAGCACTGAAAAGCTGAGTGGAAAGGTTCTCTTCTTCCCCGTTTTCTCTTTTCCTCATTACACCTAAGACAAATGCTCAGTTGGCGTTATTTTGTCCAGAAGCATGTGATGCTGGTCTGTGAGGATTCTTTGAATGTCGATTTACTTTTTATCTGGTTGGGAATGGAGATGAGGAGAATGAGACCTCCAGATGACGAGATGGCAAGGAGCTGGAGATTCCATCCGGGATCAGGGTCCCTCCCACCTTCCTCAGGTTGTGGAAGCACGGCTGTGGGTCACGGTCATGGTGCTGCAGGTGGGGGCAACAAAGGAGCAGAGAGTGGTTTTGCGGTGGATCTGGGGTGACTTTCTGTGTGGTCGTCTTTAAGGTGGGACCTGAGATTCAACCAATATTTACTGAGTATTCACCATGTAACAGGAGATGTTCTAGGTGCTGGGGCAGGGTGGGGGTGGGGCATGCAGCGTTGAACAAAACAGACAGAGCCCCTGCTCTTATAGAGCTTATGTTTTTGTGGAAAATGGAGTCAATAAACAAGACAAATAAATGAAGATAGAATGAATGTTACAAAGACAGTCCAGCGTGGGGGTGTGCTAAAGAGGGGCTGAGGGAAGCCTCTCTAGAGGACCCAGAGGGCTTCTCTGAGGAGGTGATTTTGTATTGAATATAGTTGACATGCAATATTGTATTAGTTTCAGGTGTATGATGTGGTGATTCAACATTTATTTGTGTTACAAAATGATCACCCTGATAAGACTAGCTGCCATCTGTCGTCATATAAAGGTGCTATGATATTGTTGACTGTATTCCCTAGGCTGTACCTTACATCCCCCGGACTCATTTATTTCATGACTGTAAGTCTGTCCCTCTTATTCCCTTCATCTGTTTCCCCCTTCTTCCCACTCCCTCTTCTCTGGTGACCACCACTTTGTTCTCTGTATCTGTAAGTCTCTTTCTGTTTTGTTTGTTCATTTGTTGTGTTTTTTAGATTCCACATATAAGTGAAATCATAGGGTATTCTTCTTTCTCTGTCTGCATTATTTCAGTTAGCATAATACCCTCTAGATCCATCCATGTTGTCAAAATGGAAGGATTTCATCCTTTTTTATGGCTGAGTAATATTCCATGGTATATATACACCACATCTTCTTTCTCCATTCATCTACTGGTGGATACTTAGTGGCTTCCATATCTTGGCTATTGTAGATATTTCTGCAGTGAACACAGGGGTGACTATATCTTTTCAAATTATTGTTTTCATTTTCCTCGGCCAAATACTCAGAAGTGGTATTCCTGGATCATACGGTAGGTTTATTTTTAGTTTTTTGAGGAACATTCTAAGGAGGTGATATTTGAACCAAGATGGGAATGATGAGAAGGAGCCTGTCAAGCGAAGAGCAAAAAGAAGAGCATTCTAGGCAGAGAGAACAGTGACTGCAAAGGCCCTGAGGCAGGAATGAATTGGGAGTGTTTGGAGGACTTAGAGCCGAAGAAGATTGCAGCGGGGGAGAGAGGAGGAGGTGGAGCTGGTGAGGCAGGCAGGCAGGCGGGCGACAGCATTTGTGAAGCCTTCAAGGCTTAGAAAGGAGTTGGAACTGTGTTTTAATTAGAATGGGATGCC